TGCCTCTGCCTCCTGAGCTCCTGCAGGTGTTCGGGCTGGGGGAGGCTCTCGTCTGCACCAGCACTAGCTCTGGCTCTGAGGCTGGTGCCTGAGTGGGCTCGAGTCCACGGCTGCTGCGAGGTCCGGTGCTTCAGGTGGCTCTAGCTCCCCAGCGGACGCCAGAGCGAGCTCTAGCCCCACAGCTCGTGCTAGATCTTGAGCTGGAGATGCTGTAGCTTCGTAGCCTCACTTGCTCCCTGGGGGTGAGATGCTGTCCCACCCGTCAGGCGGAGAGCTCCGAGGCCAGGGACGGTGACCGGGATCCACCATAGCATTCCCGCTGCCTGCACGAATGTATGCGTGCGTGAGTGAATGAACGAAGGAATGAACTCGAGACATCTTTACGTCTCAGGTCTCTCGTCTGTAAAAGAACATCTACCTCATGGGGCTGTTGATTCAATACAGTGTAAGCACCTACTACGTACCAGGCACTGACCTGGCGATCTGGGAATGCGGCAGAGAACAGCGCAGGCCCTGCTCGCATGGAGCTGACCGGGGCGGGGCTTAAATGCGGAATGCGGGTCACGGGCGTGGGCCCCAGCACAGCTGGGAGCACTTGCCAGGAGCGGCAGGCCCTGCCCTCAGCTCAGGTCCAACCCAGTGGGGCCGGTGACAAAGGGGACGTGGGATCCTTGGTCCGAGTGTTCGTGCCACCCGTCGTCCCCATGTAGCCGTTCCTGTCACTGTCCCCAGTTTTGCCATCCATAAAATGGGCACGAGAGGGAATCTGTTCCTGGATTCCTCCATGAATTGGTCTTGATCCCCTGTGACATACAAGGAAGACCTCCCCATTATCTGTCTTCCCATGGGTGACCCCAGAGGCCAGGGTCTGAGTGCATTGGGGGGAACTAGACAATTCTCTTCAGGGGACTGGCTAGGGTCTTCCTGCTGGTCAGTGGCCGAGCTGGGCTCTGACCCCCGCAGTGGCCGCAAAGTCCAGGGCACTGACGACACACAGGTCAAGCTACTTCTCAAGGTCCTTAAAAAATCCACCCCCAGGTCTGGGGACTGTCCACTGAGGGCCGGCCCTGCCAGCAGCCAGGACCAGGGACAGATCTTTCCAGATCAGGACGTAAGTGCTTCCTCCCTTCGCTCCTCCCGTCTCTCCCCACCCTGTGGTGTCATCGTGTGCCCGGTCACCCTTCGACCGTCCGCACCCTGCCGGAGGAACTGGGATGTGTCCCATCTTTCGCTCCCGCGAAGAAGGCGCCGTGAATAACAGGTGCACCTGTCGAGTGCAGAGCCGTGTCTGCGCCCCTTCATCCGTTTTGCCCACTCCCTAACCACACCTCCTCCGGCCAACTCAAGTCTGTTCTCTGTGTCTATGAGCTCGGGTTTGTGTTTGCTTTTAGGTTCCGCATGTAAGCGAGGTCATAGGGTGTTGGTCTTTCTCTCCTGACTTCTTTCACTGAGCATAATGCCCTTGGGGTCCCTCCGTGTTGACGTGTGTGTATATTTACGGGCCACGTTTCCCTCCATCCACTCATCCATTGGTGGACCCTTAGGCTGTTTCTTTGTCTTGGCTTGTGTAAATAAGGCTTCAGCGAACGCGGGGGTGCAGGCGTCTTTTTAAGTTAGTGCTTTTGTTTCCTTTAGATAAATACCCCGGATTGGAGTTCTAGTTTTAACTTTCGGAAGAACCTCCACACTGTTTTCCACAGCGGTGGCACCGACTTACATTCTCGTGCAATTAATTTTTTTGGTATTGATCTCGTACCCTGCAATCTTGCCGAGCTCGCTCATTAGTTCCGACAGCTTTTCTGTGTCTTCTCTGTGATTTGCTGCAGACGTGTGTTCGTTCACATTATTTGCAGACGGAGATGGTTTTACATCATCCCCTCCAACCTAGACGCCGTTTGTTTCACGTGATTGCGTGGTCGGCACGGTTAAAAGCCCCAGTGAGTCGTGGGGTAGAGCGGGAGAAGGGGTTGACATTCAGCTTTTCCCGGCCTCGGGCGAGGCCTCCTGTCTTCCCCGTTAAGCAGCACGATGGCCGTGGGCTGTTCACAGATGCCCTTTAAGGTCAGGCTTGGGAGGCCCCGGCCGTTTCTAGTTTCTTGAGTGTTTTTATCACGAAAGGATGTTGGATTTTGTCGAATGGTTTTTCAGCACTTAAGTTATTTCTGGCTCCCTCTAGCGTGCATACTCTACCATTTTCTTTATGACTTGCGCAGGAAATGGTGTCTATCGGGGGTCCTCAACCCCTGGGTCGTGGACTGGTACCGGTCCCTGGCCTGTTAGGACCCGGGCCGCACAGCGGGAGGTGAACAGCGGGCGAGCAGCGAAGCTTCACCTGTGTCTGCAGCCGTCCCCAGCGCGGGCATCACCGCCGCAGCTCCGCCTCAGACCATCGGGTATTAGATTCTCATGGGAGCACCGGTCCCTGGTGCCAAAAAGATTGGGGTACTGCTGGGCATATCAGGTGCGTGTGCTCGAAGGTAACAGCGACCAAGCAAAAAGCTTTACTCACCCGGGACGTGCCGAGGGGACGTAACAGACTCTCCGCGGGCCCCCCGCTGCGGAGTCGTGTTCCCACGGCCTGGTTGGGGTTTGCTGACTGAGGCCTCGTCTGCCCGCTTCTCCATTGCAGGCAGGCGCTGACCATGTGGTCGTCCGGCCTCGCCAGTGTGAGCCTTCTCTTCCACAGTGTGGCTGTCACAGGTAAGAGGGCGTGGGGGTCACTCGCGTGTCCAGCCAGGCTTCTCTCAGAATTCCCAGCGCTGCCCGCGGAACCCGGCGTGCAGCACGCGGTCTGGAT